CAGGGCCCGGGCCTGGAGGTCCCCAGCAGGAATCATGTCTATGTCTGGCTTGGAGGCCCGCCGAATCTCAAAGGAGTCATTGGCGCTGGTGGCCGCGGAGACCCACTGGCGCTGGCTGGGAGTGGCACTGGCAGGGTTGGGTGTGGGCAAGGCCAGGGACGCGGCTGGAGTGGCACTGGGGGTCCCCCGGCTGGGGGGCGGGTGGACCGGGGTCTCCCCGGATTCCACCTTTGGCTTCCACTCGCCCGGCCCAGGTGCGGAGCCCGCGAGGCCGTTGGCAGCGCCGGCTGGGGACTCGGGGGCTGCAGGCTCATTCGGGAGCGGGCGAGGGCCAGCGCTGTGGTGCAGGCCCCGAGGGTGGACGGTGAAGGAGTTGCTGCCGGTCCTCTGCAGGAAGTCGCTGCGCCGCGCCCCGGGGCCTGTACCACGGCGCTCAGGCTCGAAGCAGGCTGCGCGCTCACCCACGCGCGAGGCGGCGGCGCCGGGATCCCGCGGGGGCGGCGGCGGCGGCGGGGTGCGGCCGCGCTCCGGGCTCCCGCGGCGGACCGGCGCGTCGAACTTCTGGAGCAGGCGGCTGACGCGCCCGGGCGGCGCCGGCGCCTCGTACACGAGAACCTCGGCGGCGCGGATGCGGGCGGCCGGGCCGGGGCCGGAGCCGGCGGGCGGGAAGCCCGGTGCCGACTCGATGATGAGGATGTTGTCGGCGTGGATGGTGCGCACGCCGGGCACGCGGCGGTACAGTTCCAGCAGCTGCTGCACCGGCCGCGGCCCCGCCGGCCCCTCGCCGCCGCCGCCCCGCGTCCCGCGCCGCCGCTCCGACTCCAGCCGCATGAACGGGTTCTCGCGCAGCGGGCCCAGGCTGTCGGCCAGCACGAGCCGCTCGGCCGTCGGCCCCGAGGGCTCCGCCGCGCCCGCCTCCGCCCCGGTCTCAGGCGCCGCGCTCCCGCCCAAAGCGGCCAGCTTGGCCCGCTTCCGCTCCAAGATCTCCCGTTTCCAGGCCGGCAGCGCGGCGCGGGGCCCTGGGCCCGGCCGCCCCAGGCCGGCCATGGTGCGGAGCGGGCGCCAGAGCCAGCGCGCGCCGGGAACTGCGGTCGCCGCCCGCCGCCGGCCTTCGCGCCGCGGCCACGCCCCCCGGCCGCCGTCTGTCGGGGCGGGGCCGGCTCGGACCCGCCCCGCGGCCCGCGGCCCCACCTATGGCAGCGGAGGGCGGCCGGCCGCGCTGATTGGAGACTGCTCTCCCGGACCTGCCTTTCCCGGGGGGCCTAGCTGGATAGCGCCCGTCTCCCGAGCCGGCTTCCATTGGGGAAGGCCCTCCTGGACACGCCCCCCACCCCTCGCCGCTCATTGGCGACCCCGCTTCCGCCTCTGCGCCATTGGCCCTCGGCGGCCGGAGGGCGGAGCCCGGCGGGGGTGGGTCCAGGCGGGCGGTGCCAGCCGGACCCCAGCGCTCAGCCGGGTGGGTGACCTTGGCCGAGCTCGGTCCTTCCTCATCGTGCCAGTACCCAGTCCACCTGTTCCTCACGCTCAGAATCCAGTGGAAGAAGGGCCTGCCCGGGACTGGAAAGCTGTCCGCGCTGGTTCAGGGACTGCCCATCTGTGGTCCTAGCTCTTCTGCGGGACTTCGTGGAGATGCCAATGCTGTAGCCCCACGCAGTGCTGAGTTGCTTCTCAGGAACCCCTAGCTCCTGCCAGCCCCGGGAACTCACTCTTGCTTACACAAGCGGGAGAAGCCCTTCCCCACACTTCGCCAGCCAGGGCCCACCGAGCAGGGCAGGAGTGCAGAGGCTGCAAGGAGACACAGAGAAGGCTCCCCGCACACAGCTCTCCAGTGCGGAAAGCCGGGCGAGTCAGGCTGTGCACTATGCCCTGCCTCCCCACACCACTCCTCTTTCTTTGAACTTCCCTCATCCCAAGGCTAGAAGGGGTGCCAGTGACCTTCAGGGCACAACTTCCTCGCCCACGTGCCATGAAGAACCAACCACACTTGGAGGCGCAGGGGAGCCAAGGGAGCATGTTGCCTGCCTTCCCCCTTACCTCTCCTGCACTCAGCACTTGCTCAGTAATAGCACTACTGCGTGCAACAGCACCCACCCTTCAGGGACAGGGCTCCAAGGACACTGGGGCTCTAGATAGACTGGAGGCAGGTTTCAACCTGGGGTGCCCTCCTCAGCTTCTGGGTCCCATGGTTGTCCACACTACCACTCTTTAACAGTGACTTACTCCTTTCCACTCTACTAAGCCGAGAAAACACACTGGATTTTAGCCTTCCAGAAGTCACGCTTCTCTTTGTCAGGACTCTGGTCAAATGACTTTTCCAAAGGAAACGAAGCCTTCCTATGCTCACTACTTCTACACCAACAGGATCACTCAATTCTGAATTATAGAATGAAGCAGGATAGGACAAAATATGCAACCTAAAAATAACATTAAAAGAAAACTTGCCCCCAGGGTGCTTGGCTGGCTCGGTCAGAAAAGCATGCGACTCTTGATCTCGGGGTCCTGAGTTCAATCCCCATGTTGGCTGTAGAGATTACATAAATGAACTTTAATAAAAATAAAAAATAAAATAAACACTCTGGCAATGTTCACCTTCTATCTGATTTTGATGCAAACATGCCAGTCCTCGGTAGAAAGCATGTTGCAGCCGTGGCACAAACCAGACCAGTCTCCAACACAAGTATCTCAGTGGCTCAGCCGGTTCAGTGTCCACTCCAGCAGAGGGTCACAAAGCTGTTTCACTGAAGGAAGGGTCTGCAAACCTGTGCTGTAGAGGGCCAGACAACAAATGTCTCTGCTAGCGGTTCTCATCAGGGACAGTTTTGAATCCCAGACTTGTTAATGTATGCAGATCCTTCTTGCCACGAGTGAGGGGGCTCCTGGCATCTACTGAGTAGAGGTGAGACGCTACAATGCTCAGAACAGCACCCCCACCCCGCCCCAATGAAAGAATGATCTGACCCAAAAGGCCAAGAGTGCCAACTGCAAGCCACATTCATTTTCTGTCACATGTTGTTTTTATAACCCTTTGAAAATGTAGAAATCACTCTCAGCTAATGTACTCCCAGTACAAAAAGAGGCCTCAGGCCAGTCTGACCCCTGCTGCACAGTAAGGCCTACGAGGACCACACACTGGCAGGAACACAAGGCTCTGATGTCACACAAACTACTCAGCAGGTCCTCAACACAGTCCTACCCTATGTTGTCTTCACCCTGGTCACCCGGCCAGGAAGACAAACTTCTCCGAGGGAACGTCCCCATCCACCAATGAAGCCCTAGTGCATTCTAGTCTCCCACAGTCAGCTTTGTAACCAGCTACGTGACACAGGGGGGCGCATCTCAACACTCATGTGATTTCACCCTCAAGAGTTCAGGCAATCACTGCCCATCTCAGCAAAACATTCTTATTTTATTTTTATCTCAGCAAACGTTCTCATTTGGCACTTGACTGGCATTAAAGACCCCAGGCCAACAAACGTGGGCCAAGACCATTTCCAGGTCTCAGTGCCTATGAGCGTTAGCGATGCTCCTCTCTTCCATCCCTTAGGAAGGCCTAAATCTGTCCCAGGTGTGCTAACAGTGCTGGCCACAAGGTGGTGGAAAAGTTGCGATCAGCTGGGACGGGAAGCCAAGTGGTGCTTTATAAGCAAAGTTCTCTCAGGCGACAGATCTCCAAATACAGGGTCCCAATCATGCTTACTCAACGTACTTCTGTCTGCCTGGAATAAAGACAGGGCCATCCTCCCCCAGTAGCTCAGGGGAGGGGATGCAAGCTCATTTACGCTTTTCAGAGCTCAAGCATCTAAGTAAGTCTTGTCGGATGGACAGGGCAGTGAGCTCTTAAGTGAACGCTGCGGGGCAGAGGAGACCCTGAGTCAGGCTTTGCAGCCTTTGCACAGGGAGTCCTTTCCCAAGATCCATGAGAATACTCAGAGCCCATCAGGACATCTTACATATATGCATTTTCCAACTGTCAGAGGAATTCTGCACTGTCTGGCCTGGGTCCTTCTCCGCATCTCAATTCAAAGATTCGCTGTTCAAAGCATGAAATAACGAGAAACACATTTTAAGGACCAAGGCTGCTCTTTCCAGCCCCGCTGAGGGGGCCATATTAGACATGGCTGGTACAGAGAAAACTGGGCACTGGCCAGGACGGGAGCTGGCTTTGCTTTCAGACCCAGACTTCTCCTTTGGTGCGATGGAGGTAGGACCTCAGCCTGGGGTCCAGCATCCTAGCCATGCAGAGTCCCCTCTCCGGCCTTTCTGCGAGGCTAGTTGACCCGACAGGCGCGGATCATGAGCAGCTGCAGGAGAATGAAGACTGGAGACGTGATCAAGCCGAACCAGAGCTCCCGAGTCTGCTCCACCAGCTTCTGGCACAGTAACATCTCGAAGACAAACTTGAGGCTAAGAACCGTGAGGACCCAGAAGAGGCGGAGCACGGCCAACCGCTTCTCTCCATCCTGGAAGAGGCGCACCGACACGATGGTGGTGAAGTAGGTGCTGAGCCCATCGGCAGCAAAGAAGGGCACAAACACGTTCCACCAGGAGAGGCCGGGAGCCAGGCCGTCCACACGCAGTGCCAGCAGCACGGAGAACACCAGCAGGGCCAGCAGGTGCACGAAGATCTCGAAGGTGGCGAAGCCCAGCCACTGCACCAGTTCCCGGAGCGAGAAGAGCATCGCGCCGGCTGAGCGCGGGCCCGGGCCCGGGCGAGCGTCCCACCGGCGGGGCTGCTCCTCCTCTCCCCGCGGGCCTCGCCGGCGCCTGCCGCCGTCGCTGCTGCGGCGAGCGGCGGCCAGCGAGCGGCTCCGGCTGTCCCGGCCCTCGGCCCTGGCGTGACGCCACTACCCTAGCCCCAGCTCGGGACCCAGTACCGGCCGCTAGCGGACGCCCGCCTCTCCCGGACGCCATGCCCTGCGGGGCGCGGTCTGAGGGCGTCACTTCCGGCCATCACCGGAAGTCGGAAGTCCAAGCGGTCCGGGCCGCCCAGGCTTGCGCGAGTGTTAGGAGGCGCGGTACCCGGGTGCGGGCGTCCCTCGGCCGCCCGGATGCCGAGCCCGGGGCTTCTGGTGCTCTTCGGCAGCCAGACAGGCACGGCTCAGGATGTGTCAGAGAGGCTGGGCCGCGAGGCTCGGCGCCGGCGGCTCGAGTGCCGGGTGCAGGCCCTGGACTCCTACTCAGTGGTGAGGGCGCCCTAGGGTCTCGGCGGGGAGACCGAGCTGCCTGGGGCGCCAGCGCCGCGTCCGAGCCCTCGACCGCAGGGCGCCGCATCTTGTCCGGCAGCGGGCCCTTCGTTTGTGGCGGGAAGACTTGGGGACAGTGGCTTGGCTTAGCATCTGGAGGGAGGAGCGGGCGAGGTGGGAGGGGGGACCCTGCAAGGGAGGAGGCCGGCCGGCCGCTCGCGGGTGCTCACCGAGACCTTCGGTCCCGCAGCCCCGAGGGAAGCGGGGGATGCCTAGTCATTGCAGCGCGAGGTCTTACACGTGTGTCTTTCCGTTGAGGTGAATCTGATTAGGGAGCCCCTGGTGATATTTGTTTGTGCGACTGCAGGCCAAGGGGACCCTCCCGACAACATGAAGGTAAGGCTGACCCGAAGGCTCTGCCCAGGCGCTCAGGTCACTGCGCGGACCCTCGCTCCGTTGTCTCTGGCCGGGAGTCCCGGAAGCACAGGAAAGCTTCCCCTCCTGTACCTGCTGCCCATTGGCTATGGATTTGGAAGGGTCTCTTCGGATGGAGCTGGGGGCTCTGGCTGTCCTCGCTAATAAACGCTTCACAGGCCACCGAATAGCCTTGATCTCCATTTTAACCCTTAATAGTTTCTCTAGGGCTGTCTGTGGATCGGGTCTGGGTCTCTGTGTGTATTTCAAAACCGTTAGACCTTCCCAGAACATTCTTCTATTCTTTGAACATCTTTTGAGCACACCTTCTACTCCAAGCATGATCCAGCGCTGGGAATCCGGCCACGAACCTATTTCTGCCCTCAGGGAGCTCACCGTGTGGCAAAAGCAACCACCTTCACAGGCAGTTACGATGCTAGGAGATGCCTGTTGCCAGGGAAAGTACCAGATGTCAGGGGCATTAGTAGAAGCTGTGCAGCCCAACCTAAGGACTCAGGGAGAGCTTTCTGGAAGAAAGGCGTGTAGGCTAAGTCCTGAGGATAAGTGGGGGCTGGCCAGGGAAGAAGGAGCAGCCTGTGCAGCAGAGAAATGACCAGCTCTGGGAAGAGTAGAAAGCAGTTATGTGGGACAGAGGCAAGGAGAGCATCGGGGTGGGAGGGGAGAAGAGAGGCAGGAGGCCGGAACTGATCCCAGGGAGCCCGGCAGCCACAGTAAGGTGGACGGACTCGATGTGAAACGCCGTGCAATCCACTGGGGACAAGGCCACATTTGCACTCAAGCAGAACTGCCACTTGTCAATAGGGAGGGTGGGCTGTGGAGCAGGAACAGTTCCAGAGGACACACGGTACAGGCAGGACTGGCGGCCTGGACCAGGAAGGCGGTAGACAGTAGAGAAGAAGAGGGGCGCTCCAGAGATGTCAGGGTGGAACCAAGAGGACATGGACTCAAACGGGGACTGGGGCTCGGGGGCCGGAATGGACGGTAGTTCCAGGCACAGAGACCGAGACCAGGGAGGTCAAGGGCTGGGTGTCGTTCAGGTGGGGATGCAAGGTTAGGAGGCAGCTCTGGCAAGGATCCTGGGTGAGGCTTGAGAAAGGAGGCTCCTCCCTCTCTCCGGAGACAGGTAGCCCTGAACACCAAGGGCATGAGAGGTGGAGGAAAGCCTGAGAGGGCAATAAAAGTGGCCCCAACAGCAAACAGGGAGTGTACCAAATCCAAGGTCAAGGGCACAGAGGTGACTCCTGAGAGGAAGGTTTCCAGCTCTCAGAGCTGCACAGAAGTAAAGTAAGATAAGGCCTGAGCAGCACTGGCGGGGTTTATCAGCAAAGGGACTGCTGGTGACTTTGGGGAGACCAGTCTCAGGGACCCACAGGGAGAGAAGTGGGTCATGGGGCCAACAGCTAAGTGAGTGGAGAGGATCTTAGGAATGTCTTTACATTAAATGAAAAGGCGCCTGGATGGCTCAGTCAGTTAAGCTTCTGCCTCTGGCTCAGGTCATGATCCCAGGGTCCTGGGGTCAAGCTTCTCCCTCATGCCTCTCCGCCCCCAGCTTGTGCTCCCTTGCTTGCTTCCTCACTCTCTCTCAAATAAATAAATCTTTTTTTTTTTAAAGATTTTATTTATTTGACAGAGAGAGGAGACACAGCCAGAGAGGGAACACAAGCAGACGGAGTGGGAGAGGGAGAAGCAGGCTCCCCGCTGAGCAGGGAGCCTGACGTGGGACTTGATCCCAAGACCCTGGGATTATGACCTGAGCCGAAGGCAGACGCTTAACAATTGAGCCACCCGGGCATCCCTAAATAAATAAAAACTTAAAAAAAAAAAGATGAGAGAAACCTGTTAAATGCTGGGGGTGAAAAAAAAAAACAAGCAAAAAAAAAAAAATGCTGGGGGGTGGGGCGACGGGGAGAAAGAGGCTTAAGATTGAAGAGCAGGGTCCCAGCAGGGGTGGTACGGGAGAGTACGGGACACCTGGCGCCGTGACTCCGACACAGTCAGGAGCGGCCTCCTCGGACAGGAAGAGGAACAGGGGAGAAGCCAGATCTGAGGGGACCAGAAGCAGGAGATGAAGGGTGGATGCACGAGGCACAGGAGGGAAGGGGAGACGAAGACATCTGGGAGGTCAGCTGGGCTGGGGTGCAGACCGGGTATCAGACGCCAACAGCATGAAGGAGGCGATGGCCGTCCCTGGATGTGGTGGACACATTCGGCGGCAGGCACAGACCCCACCGTGGAGACGGTCAGGACAGAGCCCTCCCCAGTCAAAGCAGGGCCCGGAGGCTCCTCGGAGAGGCTGCAGACTGAGGTCCCGGGGACACGGAGGAGGGGGCTGGTCCCTGCTGGAGACCGGCTCAGCGACCAGCTGTGTACTGAACGGGAAGGCTCTGGCTGCCTTGCCTTGGTCCTCAGAGCCTTGAGGTCAGGCACGCACTCCCAGGCAGTGGACAGGCGGAGCCCTCTGTCGGGAAAGGGAGTCACCACAGTGGAAAACCTAGCAGGGTCCTGGCCGGGAACCCACAGTGGGTGGCAGGCCTGAGCTCACGGTTTCCTGTCAGTTTCTTAAGTACAAGGAGACTGGGAGGAACCGCCATGCCCTCGAGAAATGACGCCGCGGAAAGAGACCGAAGCGCTTCGGGGGACATAAGCGGGAGGAGCAGAGGCGGGGGAGCCCCTCCAGAGCCCGCACCCAGGGAACAGGAGCGCGTGAAACGGGATATGCCTGGAAACGGAGGAAACACTCCGGAAAACTTGAGAAGATTAGAGAGCAGAGTTGAGATCTTCTGGAGAGTTTAACAAACAGTGAGCTAGGACACGAAGCAAATCAAATCCCTGAGGTCATCCGAGTAGCCTCAGGTGAGCCATAGGGTGGGAAGAAACAGGCCGAAGAGAGTCACAATGTCCCCGAATGAGTGCCTGGGAGAGAAGGGCACCTGGGGAAGGCCTGCCTGGAAGGAAAGGCTCCCGCCGAGGCACGTCGTGGTGGGTTGCAGCCCTTGGGCACAGACAGCAGGACACGGCAGGACACTGGCTTCTCGGCCCCCGTGGCTCAGCTGGACCAGCTTGGAGCAGGGGCTGGGGCTCTTTGGAAAGAAGGTTTCCCGTGGAAGCGCAAACCTGCGGGTCCCTGTGGAGGGAGGGCACGGACGTGCTCGGGTGCAGAGCTGCGAGAAGTGTACCTTCGCTGGGCCTCTTCTCAGGGAGCACCTAAAGGGCTTCAGGAAACCGGTCTCTAAGGAGGTGTGCGCCGGAGAGGTCCCGGGAGGCAGAGCGGGCACAGTCCCCGGTGCAGCGGGCAGACCCAGGACAGGGCCGGAGTCCCTCTACCTCAGAGGGCTTCTGTTTCTGGAGATAAGCAGCAGAAGGGAGGTGGAGTGTCCGGACATCGTGGAGCACACACAAGCAGGTGTTGCCAGGGCTCTGGTCTCCATGGCTGAAGGTGACGGAACTCCGTCACCATGTTGGGCAAGTATGCCTGGAGGCTGGGACAGAGTGTGGCCCAGGACATGCTCCCATGAGGACCCCAGGCAGGAAGGAGAGGCACTGGGCTGTGACCTTGGGGGTCTGGGTGTAAGGCTGCTGGGATGGGCAGATGCATGGAGATGAGGGTGCCCAGGGATGGGGACAGTTCTGGGTCCTTGGCGAGCACAGTGAGTTAGGTGGGGAGCCATCGGGGCGGCAGTGAGTGTGAAGCACACTGATGGGGGCTCGGGGCCAGGAGCGGGCTCCAAAGGAGAGAAACTTCCCCTTCCACCGACCACTGACGGGCTGCAGGGCCTGACATCTCGGCCCAGAGGGGTGCCTGTGGCGGCCTGAGCTTCAGAGCTGGGGGTGGAGGGGTGTCCAGGACACAGGACTGTAGTGTGAAGGAGTAAGCCACCCGCGGGGGAGACCCAAGCAGGGGCGGGTGCTTCCCCCACCTGGGGAGAGCGGTGGGAAAAAGCTGTGGCCTTCCTGGGGTGGACCTCAGGAGCCTTTTCCCCAGGGGCCCTCTGCCCCGATGGGGCGGAGCTCCACGTTCTGGTGGTGGCTCTGGGGCAGCTCACTTGCTGTTTTTTTTGCTTATCTTTTTTTTTTTTTAAGATTTTATTTATTTATTTGGCAGAGATCACACGTAGGCAGAGAGACAGGCAGAGAGAGAGGAGGAAGCAGGCTCCCCACTGAGCAGAGAGCCCGATGTGGGGCTCGATCCCAGGACCCTGAGACATGACCTGAGCTGAAGGCAGAGGCTTTAACCCACTGAGCCACCCAGGCGCCCCCTATCGTTTTTATTTAAAGATCTATTTATTTGAGAGAGGGAGGGGAGAGGCAGAGGGAGTGAATCTCCTGTAGTCCTCAGTGTGGTGCCCAGCCTGGGGCTCTATCTCAGGACCAAGACAGGAGATGAAACCAAGCCCCCTGGGGCAACTTTCTTTTGTGTGATTTTTCTGCTTTTTCCCAATTCCCCCCCCCCACCCCCACCGCAATAGAATAAAAAAGTGGTGTTGTTTTAATAACAAAGGTCTAGAGGAACAGGGTGGCTCCAAGAGGCGGCGTCTCCCTACCGGGCCCTGGGACCCCATTGCTCAGAGCAGGGCCTCTACCCTCTGACTTGTTGGCTTCTGGCTGCAGAATTTCTGGAGGTTCATATTCCGGAAGAATCTGCCACCGACCGCCCTCTGTCAGACAGACTTTGCTGTCCTGGGCCTCGGGGACTCCTCGTACGCCAAGTAAGTAGGGGCAAGAGGGCCACTGGCCTGCAGGGACTGTCCTCCAGGTCGAGCACAAAGTGTCCCAGTACCAGGACTGATGACTCAGCCCCCAGGGCTCCCGCTGGACCTTGGGCGGGCACCAGGCTGTCTGTCCCGCTTCTGCAGTGACCACCGGGGAGCATCTGGGTTTTGAAGGGTGCTTGGGGTGCAGACTGGAAGCTGGCAGGCAGCAAAGGGGGGTCTTCTAGGGCAGGGGGTGATGTCTGGACCTGCGCAGCATCCTAGGTTGATATGGGACCCAGGGCAGCAAAGGCCCACTGACTCCCCACTCTTAGAAAAACACGTAGTCAGGAGATTGTGGACTTACAAAGAGCACAGAGAGCAGTGGGAACAAGCGAGGGGCACAGAAGACCCCCCAGCCCCTGGGAGCCACTCAATAGCACTACTTCCCTGGGTACGGTGTGGCCTCCTTGGCCTTTTTCTCTCTCGGGTTTTCAGGACACCCACGTCCTAAGCAGAGAGTACTACTGCTTTCCTTCTCAGGGCAGCGCCGAGGGCTTTGCATTGAAGGGAATGCGAGTTGGCAGGTCGCTGAGACGTGGGCACTCCTAGCTGTGCGGCGCAGGGGCTGAGGGAGGGCCGGCTGGGCACCGGCGCTGGATGCCGGGTGCGGGGTGCCAGGTGCCGCAGCCTGCAAAGCCAGACGCAGCCGCTGCAGGGCTGGGAGGGCTCAGGCGAGGAGGACGGGAAGCAGCGGCAGCAGGACAGTCCTCTGCTGGGTGGGGGTCTTGTTCCGTGCCTCTCGCAGACACTTGTGCACGGTGGCAAACAGGCTGGAGGGTGGGTGGGGGTGGGGAGCCCCTCCTGCCGATAGCCTTCCCCAGCCCATGAGGCTCCATGGGCTCATTTGGGGCTGTTTCCCCTTCACTGCCCTGCGGCCCGGGCTGGGTGTGCCCAAGCCTCCCTCCCTCTCCAAAGGTTCAATTTTGTGGCCAAGAAGTTACACCGTCGGCTGCTGCAGCTCGGGGGCCGTGCCCTCCTGCCCGTGTGCCTGGGCAATGACCAGCACGAGCTGGGGTGAGTGGGGTGGGGGGCGCTTTCCTGCAGGCCCAGCCATGAGCAGGAGTCCCCAGGCTAGCATGCACATGCTCTTTCTTCAGGCCTGATGCTGCCATCGACCCCTGGCTGCACGATCTGTGGGAGAAGGTGCTGGCACTGTACCCCGTGCCCCTTGACCTTGGTGTGATCCCCGCCGGAGTCCCGTGAGTGTGGGCCGACAGGTGCAGCGGAGCAGCCTGGGCCCTGCCGACAGCCTGACCAGTGTGTGCCCTCTCCACAGTTTGCCCCCCAAGTTCACCCTGCACTTCCTCCCGGAGGCCCCCAGGATATGCTCTGAGGAGCAGCATGGGGCCGGCACAGACCCTCCAGGTCCACCTTCAGAGCAGCAGCCCTTCCTGGCACCCATGGTCACCAACCAGAGAGTAACCGGCCCCTCGCACTTCCAGGATGTTCGGCTGATCGAGTTTGACATTACAGGCTCCGGGCTCAGGTGAGGGGCCCGAGACACGAGATGGGCGGTGGCCAAGGGCTGGGCTGCGGGGCTGGGGGTGCGGGTCAGGCAGCAGGGAGACACTTGCCCCCAAGGACCCCTCTGCCAGCACCCTCCCTGCACCCCCGGTGCCCTGCGTACCCCGGCCCACTCTCCCAGAGGCTTTCCCACACAGCTTTGCAGCCGGCGACGTGGTACTAATCCTGCCCGAGAACCTGGCCAGCGACACCCAGCAGTTCTGCCGGGTGCTGGGCCTGGACCCAGACCAGACCTTCACCCTGCTGCCTCAGGAGCCAGGTTAGTGCGGGGGCCAGTGGGGGCCCAGCGGTGGGCACGTGCTCTCCCTACCCTGCTGGGGTCCGCTGGCCCGCTCAGCCCTCCCCCTGCCCTCCCGCTGCAGGTGTGCCCTGCCCCGCACAGCTGCCCCAGCCCTGCTCCGTGAGGCACCTTGTGTCACACTACCTGGACATTGCCAGCGTGCCCCGCCGTTCCTTCTTCGAGCTCCTGGCTTGTCTCTCTCCCCACGAGCTGGAGCGGGAGAAGCTGCTGTACTTCAGCTCCCCTCAGGGTCAGGAGGAGCTGTACGCCTACTGCAACCGGCCTCGCAGGACCATCCTGGAGGTGTGAGCAGCTGTGGGCAGGTGGGCGGGCCCAGGGCTCCGAGCCACAACCTCGAGGGGCTGTGCCGGGCATGCCCACCCGAGGCCATGTCTGCCCAGGTGCTGTGCGACTTCCCGCACACGGCGGGAGCCATCCCTGCAGACTACCTGCTGGACCTCATCCCCCCGATCCGCCCGCGGGCCTTCTCTATCGCCTCCTCTCTGCTGGTGAGGGCCCATGGGGCAGAGCCCAGAGCTGGCCTCAGGGATGCTGGGTAGGCCGCAGGCAGGTGTATTGGGGAGTGGGGGGCCCCCGTTCTTCCACGTCTACCCCACATCTGGGCCCAGCCCTCGGGGGAGTGGGTAGAGCTTGAAGCCAGGGCGGACAGAGGCCAGGAGAGCCCGGTGGAGCCAGGCAGCCACCGTACCATCCCCCAGGCTCACCCGTCCAGGCTGCAGATCCTCGTGGCTGTGGTGCAGTACCAGACACGCCTCAAGGAGCGCCGCCGGGGCCTCTGCTCCTCCTGGCTGGCCTCGCTGGATCCTGGGCAAGGTGACCCCTGTTTTCTGGAGGGGCGCATAGAGGACTGGGCCTGGGGCCTCCGTTCTCCCCTGTCCAGCACGGCCAATCCCAGGCTAGGGCGCTGGTCCTTGGCACCCCTTCACGCCTCCTCTCCTGCCGTAGGACCTGTCCAGGTGCCGCTGTGGGTGCGGCCCGGGGGCCTGACCTTCCCAGAGACACCAGATACACCCGTAATCATGGTGGGCCCTGGCACTGGCGTGGCCCCTTTCCGAGCAGCTGTCCAGGAGCGCGTGGCCCAGGGCCGGAATGGTGAGCACACAGGATCTCGGGCAGGGCGGCGGCTGGGGCCTGCAGAGCCAAGCCTTGAGGCCACCCTGTGTTCCCCCAGGAAACTTTCTGTTCTTCGGCTGCCGCTCGCGCCACCAGGACTTCTACTGGGGGGCTGAGTGGCTGGACCTAGAGAAGAGGGGCTCCCTGACACTCTTCACAGCCTTCTCCCGGGAGCAGGTGGGTGTGCTTGGAGGGGCGGGGAGGGGGCCACGAAGCAGTCTCACCCCCGCCCCCTGCCCCATCCCTGTAGGAGCAGAAGGTGTATGTGCAACATCGGCTCCGGGAGCTCGGGCCGCTGGTGTGGGACCTGCTGGACCGCCGGGGCGCCTACTTCTACCTGGCAGGGTGAGCCTGGGCCGCTGGGTGGGGATGGCGGCCAGCCCTTCCAGGGGGTCCCAGCCGCACTGAGCCCTCCTGGCCTGTCCCTTCAGCAATGCCAAGTGCATGCCCGCAGACGTGTCGGAAGCCCTGATGTCTGTCTTCCGGGAGGAGGGCGGGCTCTCCAGCCCTGATGCAGCCGCCTACCTGGCCAGGCTCCAGCGGACACTGCGTTTCCAGAGTGAGACTTGGGCCTGAGGAGCCATCTTGCCGGCCTGGGCTCCTCTAGCCACCGCCCTCTGGGAGGCCGCCATCCTCTCCGCCTCCCTCTCCCCCAAGCCCCGTCCCCTGCACAGCCTCGCTCTGGTCCACCTGGGGCTCTGTCCTCAGCCCCGACGCCACTGCCCATGCGGCACCCCACCATGTCCCCATCCAGGGTTCCGGGCTCCTGCTGGCCTTTTCCCACTGGCCCCAACATGGGTCCTGGTCAGGGTGGTCTGTGGACTGCGCCACCCTGCATGGGGACGGTGCCTCAGGAAGGAGCGGGCAGCCTGACAGGCATCGGGGCTCCCCAGACGACACAGGAACCTGGGGGCTGGGGAACCCCAGGGAGCCTTCTGAGGTGGTGCAGGGTCTCTGGGAGTGCCACATGCCACCCCCCTTTGCCCTAGGGGACAATGGGCTCCCAGCCACCCTCTGCCACCAAGCACCTGGTGCCACCTCAGGGCCTCACGGGGCTCTGGCCAGGCTGGAAGTCAGTGAGGGTCAGAGCAGAGGGAGGAGGCCCCCAGCCAGTCAGACTTTCCCCGCCCTAGTCCTGGAAAGGCTCAGTAAAAATATTGTGGGCTCTGGTGGGCTGTTTCTGACATGCTCTTCCTTCTAACTGTCTTGGTACCTTGGTGGGGAGGGGTGGCGCTGGGGACCCCCAGTGGGCCTGGATGGGGCAGCTCCTGTGACCTGGGGGCCCGCAGTGGGTCTGGGTGGGACGGCTGTCCATGGTGGGCACTGTGCACCATTGCTCTGCCATCTTTGCTACAACACTTAGGGGTCTGATTCTGCTGTGATGTGTGCTGGCTGTTTGCCCACTTTGTACAGCTCTGCCCTGTTTCTGTCAAGCCCAGGGCAGCCTTAGGCAGCCCTGGAAGGAAGGGTGGGTACTGTCCATTCCCTCCCTGCCTGGTGCGTAGCAGTCCTGGCAGGGGGAGGGAAGGTGGGGGCGGGGCAGCCATGGTCCCCACCCCTGGGAGGGGCCTTCAGGATCCCCAGGGGAATTCCTGTAGGAGGAGTCAGGCTGGCTGGTCTACTTAGAGAGCTGCTCCCTGGAGTCTGTGTGTCTGTCCGTCAGCTGTGAACACAGGGGTGGGCGGTGGCCACGCCTGGGCCGGGGCAGATCCGGAGAAGATAGCACCCGTGGGCCCAAGAGCTGTCCTGTCCGGAGCCTGGGACAAGTGCTGGGGCCCAAGTGCCGGTGACTTTCTAGGGTGGGGCAAAGGAGCCCAGCGCAGGCCAAGGCTACGGCTGCTTTGAGGTCAGTGCCAGACCCTGCCCGTGTCCAGAGGGCCACGCTGACCTTCACATCCCCAAACACCCTGGCTGCCACCCTGGGAACCCCAGCCACCCATCCGGACCCCTGCCCCAGGGCCCCCATTCATGGCCCCTGTGACCTCAGCTCTGGACTCAGCGGTCTGCCTTCAGCCTCTCTCGGCCCTGAATGCCTAGCCCCCCCACGCCAAGTGTTGGCAGACGAAGAGTTGGACGGCAGGGTTCTTAGGAACCCCCAGGGTCCTGGGGCTCTAGACAGTGAGCCCCTGCTAGGGGCCAGAGCTGCAGCCTGCCCCTGGGCTGGGCAGTCAAAGGAGGAGGATGGCGAGGGGCAGGCGGGAGAGTCGGGGGAGGAGGAGTGCCCCATCTGCACAGAGCCCTACGGGCCCGGGGAGCACCGCCTGGCCCTGCTGAACTGTGGCCACGGCCTGTGCGTGGGCTGCCTGCACCAGTTGCTGGGCACAGCCCCCAGCGCCAGCCTGGGCCAGGTATGCTGCCCGCTGTGTCGCCAGAAGACGCCCATGCTTGAGTGGGAGATCTGCCGGCTGCAGGAGGAGCTGTTGCAGGCAGATGGGCCCCAGGGCCCCCCGCCCCCTATGCCCCCCGCTCCTCCCCCGCCCCGGGGTCCCGGGCCCTGGGCCTCCCTAGAGCACCGCTACCAGCTGCGCTTCCTGGCAGGGCCCGTGGGCGGCCAGGGCTGCCTGCCCTTCCTACCGTGCCCGCCCTGCCTGGGTGCACGGCTCTGGGCCTTGCGGGAACGAGGGCCTTGCCCCCGCCGCCTTGCTCTGTCGGGCCTGCTGGCCCTGGAGCTGCTGGGCCTGTTGCTGGTCTTCACGCCACTCATGCTGCTGGGGCTGCTCTTCGTGCTGCTAGACCGTTCCGGCCGCTGAGTGGGGCCTCCCACGCCTGCGACCGGCACCACTGGGGCCTCAGACGATCCTGGCTGCCGCCGGACCAGGAGACCCAGGCTGGCCCTGAGGCCTGATGACTGAACTGAACAGCCGAGACTGGCCTCCATCCAGACCCAGGTCTGGGGCCAGGCCACCCAGGAGCCAGAGACGTCCGACGACCCTGCCGCCTGCCGCAGACTACCGGTGCCCACGGGCAGTGCTGTAGGAGGCCTGTGGCCAGGCCCATACCGACAGCACACGGTCTTCACTGCTTCTCCCCGCCCCACCCGGCCCATCTGCAAGAGGGACACGGCGGACACGAAAGTGAACCCAGAAGGCTGGTAGTGAGCGGACTCCTTGGCAAGGGGGGGCCCTGGGGGGGCTGCGGGGCCCCCAGCTTGCGTTCCAGATAAGAGCCGGTGTGTATCCCCTGAAGGGCAGGGCAGCAGAGGGGAGGGGTGCGTGCCGTGCCAGCTCAGGCCACAACAGCTTCCTCGCTCACTGGGTCAGGACCCAAGGGGCTGGCGGGAGCCGCTGGGCGTCGGGCACGCGTCTCTGAACCACTAGTCCTTGGGGCTGGACGGCACTGACCCGAGGCCCCTGAGTGCCCCGTAACCTCCTATCATTGAGCTCGGGGCCTTTATCTAAAGGACAGACACAATCAGCACGACCCCCCAGGGCCACGGGCGACACGCTGAGTGCCCTGCCCAGCACGAGAAACGGCTGTCGGTACACAGCACCTGCGACCGAGGCCTGGCCGCTGGGTTCTTACCGCCTCTATCCCTTCTTCAGCCCCGCTGGCCTCCCCAGCCCTTCCCTCCTCCCTCCCACCACAAAGTTTCCTTCCCAGAGTCAGGTGGTGGAGTACAGGATCGAAGGCCCCTGGGTCCTCCTACCCCAGCACCGTCTTGGCCAGCTTTTGTCTCAACCCCACCTCAGACAGCCTCCAAGGCCATTCCCACCCAGCTTCAGAGGGTCTGGTGCATGCCAGGAGCCTGGCGGGCTGAGGTGTCCGCCATCCAGCTGCCCGCACATCCAGGGCCAGTGCAGAAGACACAGCCACCCTGTGCCCTCACACAGGAGGCAGGCTGGCCCTGCACAGACATGTGGGACATCCGCACAGGCGCGTGCACACGCACACACACACCTGGCCCAGCCTGGCCCCAGCAAGCAGAGCAGGCTGACCCCAAGCAGCACTGGGCCTCCCTCTGGCGGCTCCAGGCGGGACCCTGTATGGGCCGTAGCCCTGGGCCCTGGCCGCAAGAGCAGGCTTCAGGGAACGAGGTACAAACTTTGGCAAAGAGTTTTAATGGCAGAGTTGGCTGCAGCGACAATGCCACACAGGGAGGGGCCAGAAGCTGTGGTGGGCGAGGGGTCAACAGGCGACAGGGCGGGGCCGGATCCCTGGAGAAGCGGCGAGCACAGGCTGGCAGGCCAGGGCACGGGGGGGCTCTGGCTACATGATGGAGCAGGCGGACAGCGGGTTCCGCACGTGGCAGGTGCATGCGGCCCCACAGTACTGCCGGAAGGTCTGGTAGCAGCTGCCCTCCGGCTCACCCCCCCACTGGCCCCCGGACGGGGCGGTCAGTGCCTCGGGTGGCAGGCGGCTCAGGATGGACGTGTTGACAGCGAGCGCGGCCAGGCCGTAGTCCGTGAAGAGCACAGTCTCGCGGCGGCAGGTGGGGCAGGAGATGAACTTGTACTTAGGACAGGACTCATAGAGGATCTGCAGACACTGCTCGCACACGGAGTGCAGGCAGGACAGCACTCGGGGCCGCCGCTGGGTGACGTTGTACGTGTGCCCGCAGGTGGGGCACTCCAGGGGCTCCCCCGAAGCTGGCGCCGCCGTGGCAGGGGGCCCCGAGGAGGCAGGCCCAGGCCGTATCACGTATTGATTCACGATTACCTCGTCCGCGGGCGCCACGCGGGGGAAGCCCAATTCCACACTGCCCTTTCGGGGCCGTCGTGGCAAGGGAGGGGTGCGGGGTGCCCCATCCAAGGCAGGCATGTCCCCCCCACAGGCCTGGTTGACGATGATCTCTGTGTCTGAGGGCCAGGCCCGTTTGGGGGCCAGAGCGGGGGTGGGCCGCGGTGCAGGTGGGAAGCAAGGGGCGGCCGCCTGCAGCTCGGGGAACTTCTCGGGGTGAACAATCTTCATGGCCTCCATCTTGAGGATGACATGGGGACCCTTCAGGCAGGACATGAGGAGGCCTGGCCAGCCACTGCCCACCTCGGGCCCAGGGTCAACCGGCATCCGGCTGTCTCCAGTCAGACTGGGTCTTCGGGTGGGTGGGGGTGTTGGGTGAGGCCGGGGGGGAGGAGAGGGAGCAGCATCCTGGTCCCGCCAGGCCTGGTAGGGACCCCGGCCGCCCCGAGGGCTCCTGGGGGCGGCCGGCGAGAGCTGGGGGGGCAGGGCCCCCCCCAGTGGCCACAGTGGCTTCTCGGGTCCAGCCCTAGGAGGAGGAGGAAGGGGTGGGGGAGGAGGAGGGAGGCGGGGGCAGGGGGGTTTGGGAGGCTGCCCTGGGCTGCAGATCTGGCCCAGGGGCTCACCCAGGGTCTCTGGCTGCTGAGGCTGGCGAGGGGGCGTGGGGGGAGCTCCCCCTGCAGCCGAGGTCAGCAGTCCCTGAGCAGGGACATCCGGGCAGGCAGGGGCTAGGTGGGCCCCACGCCTCCAGGACAGGGCTCCCAGGGAAGGCAGCTAGCCGGAGCCCTGGCTGCGGGAGGCCCCAGGCCACGGGCTCCGCGGCGGCGGGAGCAGAGGAGAAGCCTGGCCCAGGCCCGAGCTGCAGGTGAAAGACAGCGTGAGGGAAGCGCCCGGGCCCACCCTCACCCTGCACAAAAGACAGGGCGCCCGACCTCTGACCCTGACCCTCGCTGGACTCGGGACCCAGCCCCCTCCCAGCCCCCGCCCTCAAGGCCCAACCCCTTTCCCGGTGGGAAGGGAAGGCGAGTCGCGCGACCCCGCGGCCGTCCCGCCCCGCCCGAGCTCACCTGCCCCAGCCTGGCGTCCCCGGGCCGCGCGCCGCCGCCGCAGAGGTTGGCTCAAAGGCAGGCCCGGATGCGACGCCCGCTCCTCGGCCGGCGGCTCCAGCGGCTCCGGCGGCGACCTCGGGCGATGGCGCGGCACGGCGGCTCCCAGGGGCGCTGGGCGCGGGGCTCCGGGCAGCGCGGCGCGGCGGCAGGTGCGTGCGGAGCGTGGCGCGCTCTGCGGCGGAGGCGCGGGGACCGCAGTGCGCGCGGCGCCCGCCCGCGCCCGCAGCGCCACCCCCCGTCTGGGGACCCGCGCGGGGTCCGCGGGGCGGGGCCAGTCGCTCAGCCGCCCCTCCATCGCCGCGGGCCTGGCGCCCGCTCCGGGGTTGCCCGCCCCAGCGAGCCGCGTGTGGATCAGGACCCCCGCGTCGCCCTTTCCAGTACCCCCTCAGCCCGAGTCCTGTCTGGCCGACCCTGGGTCCTAGTCAAGTATCCCCTCCTCCAGTTCTAGAAGGGAAACCCTGTTTTTCGAAGCCTGGGGCCTCACAATGCCAGAGAGAGGAAGGCAAGAAGAGTGGAGAGGGGTCTCAGGAAAGCTGGTTCCCAGGGCCCCACCCGGAGACAGCCATGTGTCACCCCCCTGCAGCCCCCCGAGTCAGGGTCTCTGCTTGTCCTTCCACTCTGTCCCCAGTGCTCATGCCCCTGGCTCACAAGTGCACCCAGATTGTGCTCAACGGGGACAGGGACGGCGTGACCGTGAACGAGGGTGAGCAAGATATCCGAGGAGTGGGTGGAGAGGCCGGACGGTAGTTGGCGGGCTCCGAGGACTGGAATGCTGGACAGGCAGGTGGGGTGAGGGGTATGCAGAAGGTCAGAAGGACAACTGGACAGGCCAGTGGGGCAGCCCGCTGGGGACACGCACCCAAGGTGGGGTGGCCCTTTCCGGCATCCCATCAAGTCAGCACGTGCCCTGCTGTCACATACTTGTGCTATCCGGACCCCACCCAGCACAGAGGCCCCTTTCCTTTCCACTTCCTCCTCAAGCCAGGCTCCCTAACTCCCTGGGGTGTAGCCTCTGCGGGAACCCTCAGGTGAAAGACAAAGCAGAGAACATGGTGACAACTACCGGGCAGGGGACCACAGCTTGCCAGGGGGAGGGGGGGGTCCACAGTGCCACCCCCTGACCTGCTCCAGCTACCACACGGCGTGCCAGCATTCCCGTGACCAGCACTGGGCCCTGTGCCTGACCCTGGACAGTATCAGCCCCTCTCCTCTGTACTGGCCCACTACACCTGGCTGGAGGCCTTGCTCAGGGGTCCTTCAGGGCAGCCGAGCCCAGAGAGGCCGCTGCTCCTGGTGAGGAAGCCCACGCGGGCAAAGCAGCCTGGAGGAGCGAACCCGGGCCTTAGGGGACTTTGCAGCTCTGTGCGACCTCAGCCTAGTGTCCGCAGATCTCAGTTCCCAAAGCCATTTAGGGAGAGGGGTTGTGGGGTGTGTGCAGGTGGCCGGCAAGGCGGGCAGCGAGGGCCTTCCCGGCCCTGGCGTGAAGCTGGGGCAACTGAAAGAGCCCCGGCCAGGGCGGTGCGTGGAGGCGAGCCTCGGCCCCCACTTCTCCACTTCCCAGCGACCCTCTGGGCGCGCACCCAAGGAGGCACCGGCCACAGGGCCCCACCCCTTGCCCCGAGGCCCCGCCCCTGGACGTGAGGTCCCGCCCCGTGCAGGCCCACCTCCCCGAGCCCACCCAAGTCCGCGCCCCGGGAGCCGGAGACCCGCGGGTCAGAGCTGGGCAGCCCAGGTTGAGTTCTGGGCCGTCCATGGCCAGCAGACGCCGAACCGGGTCTTTAGAGAAACCTTTGAGCGCGGAGGCTTCTGGGGAATAAAGTTCTCACCGGCAGCCCCGGGCCTGTTGCGCGCATGCGCCAGCCTCCGCCTCGCAGCAAGAGGCGGAGTTTTGTAGGGGCAGTGGGCGAGGCTTCTTGAGCCTGCGCAATGAGCGTCTGTCTTACACCTGGGGAGTCCCCGGCCGCGGACCGACTTCCCTCCTCTCCCGGGGCCACATCGGTAGAACTCGTGTCCGGACCGGTCTGACTGGCCTTACGCAGGCCACCCCGGCCACCCTGGCCTCTGAGCCACGTCTGATTTGATCCCGCCCTTACTTGGGGTTCCCTTGCGCACCAAGACTGGAGGTGCGGGTCCTGGCCCCACCCTGCTGCCCACTTCGCTCTGGGGGGAAGATCACCAGTGCCAGGCCCAGACCCAAACGCTCACATCCGCTGTCACCCCAACACACGGCGACCCTGTGTGGCAGGTGCAACCTGCCGCCTCACAGAGGAAGGTGGGAGGAGGAATGCGTTCCAAGGACTGAGACGCAGGTGGGGCCGGGAGCTCTCCATCCCCATGGGAAACTGCATTCCAGAAATGAGCCAGAAGGGACACCTGGGTCGCTCAGTCGGTGAAGAGTGTGCCTTCAGCTCAGGTCCTGGTCTCAGGGCCCTGGGATCAGGCCCCACATCAGACTCCCTGCTCAGCTAGGAATCCACTTCTCCCTCTTCCCCTTCCCCCGTTCATCCGTTCTCTCTCTTAAATAAATAAATACATATATACGTACATACATAAGAAATGAGCCAGAAGTATCACTTGCCAGTGAAGCCCCTGTTGTTGCCAATTTTAAGAATAGTCGTAGCCAAGGTGTGTAAATCAAACCTTTTTTATAGGTTAAAAAACACAAACCCTCAAGCAGTCTGTGGTCTCAGACACCTTGGTCTCTGTCTGCCAAGAAGAGCCTTGGCTTGAAGTGGACCTCCGTCCTCTGCCTTAAAGCAGGGGCTTTGAGGTGTGTGAGTGATGGCTGGGGTTCCCCAGACTGCCAGCAGGCCTGGGAGCTGAGGCTGACGTCAGGCTAACCTCCAGTCCTCCTTCCTGGGGAGCTTCGGGTCTTTGGAGGGCTGAGGACGTGCCCCAGATGAGTGGAGGCTGAGTCACCGAGCCTGTCAGTGCCCCTTGGAGCCCCGGCGGGGGCCACCACCCACCACAGGAGGAAGGGTGGGTAGCTGCTGTGCCGGCTGAGCCGGGGCCTCCTGGGATCCTGGGAACCCCATCTTCGAGCCCCACCCGTGGCTCCGCCCCTCCCCAGGAGGGAAAAGGCAGCTAGCTGCCAGTGGCTTACCTCATAGGCACTGGACCCGACCCACAGGACGAGAGGGTAGACTGCTGCTGTCACCACCTCAGGTGGGTCCTGGGCCCAGGGGCTTCCCTGTACTGGGGCTCAGCCATGGGCACGGCCCAGACGGCCTCTCTCAGCGCCCCCAGCCCATCTGCAGCCCCATTGCGGGATGGGGGGCAGCTGGGAGACGCTGGCCCTCACACTCTGCTCACCCCCACACATGGGCACACTAATACCCAGGCCTGGTGCACTCTGGCATCTCCCCAGCCTGGCTTTTCCGAGGGGTGGGCACTCTCTCGGGCTGCAGCTGTCTCCCTCCCCAGAGCCAATCTTGTCTCCTCTGCCTGCCCCTGCCAGGCTGGGCCATGGACCCACACGAGATGGTCGTCAAGAACCCGTATGCCCAGGTCAGCATCCCCCGCGCTCACCTGCGGCCCGACCTGGGGCAGCAGCTGGAAGCGGCTTCCTCTTCCTGGGGGTCACAGCCTCTGCCTGTGGGGTCCTGCCCCTCAGAGCCCACCAGGCTCCTGCAGCCCACCGAGGAGGCCCTAGAGAGCAAAGGTGGCAAGGGGGCCAAGGGGGCTGGCCAGATCCAGGGCCACCAGGCCTGGCCACAGTCCAGCAACCCCTACAGTGCTGGGCAGCGTCCGGCAGGACTGACCTACACCGGCCGGCCACCCATCGGGCGCGGTGACGACATCGCCCACCACTGCTGCTGCTGTCCCTGCTGCCCCTGCTGCCACTGCCCTCGCTTCTGCCGCTGCCACAGCTGCTGCTGCGTCATCTCCTAGCCCAGCACCCGCGTGGCCGTGGGGCCTGTGGTGGGACTCCCACCGTGGCTTGGGCGGCCACCGGACCACTGTCATGGACGTTGGCCACTTCCCACCCCAGATGGGAGCAGCTACCTGCTGAGGGGGCCGACCGCCCAGCTCTAGCCCCTTGCTGGAGAGCCTGGGCCCCTGCGGCAAGGGCAGCCCCGGGGAAACCCTTGACCACCTCCCTCGAGCCCCACGGCCCAGGCAATAAAGCAGAGTGAGCCTTGCTCTGGTGGCTCTTTACTGCTGCACCTGGGAGAGGGTCCTGCGCTTGATGCCGGCACTGGCCTCAGCCTCTGTGGGGCCTTCAGCGATGGTGAAGCCACCCTGAGCTGTAGGTCTTGGGTCTGTCCAGAGACTGGACTGGAGGTATGGGAGCCAGGCCTGGGTTCAAGCTGTCTTGCGTTCCCCAGGGCTGAGGCCAGGGCCGGGAGACAGATCAGGCAGGGGACCAGACAGGAGGAGGATGCTACACGTGGAACCGGGGTGGGGCCCTGAGAGGCCTTCAGGAGGACGACCATGTTGGCAGGACCGTGGCGGGTGGGCCTGGCTCTGGCAGGTTTCTGGGAGTAGGAGCCCAGGCAGCCAGTGCCAGGGCCTGCCCATCCATGAGTCATGGCCCTACCTTAGCCCAGGGGTTTTCTGGTTCCTCACGAAATGGCCAATCCGTAAACACCTGCCGTGTGTCACCCAAGCCGGCTGCCCATCCGCTGTCCTGCCTCCAGGGCCTGGACCTCCTGAGCCAGGGGAGCAGGAAAGGAGCGGTCTGATCTCCCATTTGTCTGAGAAGCGCAACATGCCGGCCTGGGGGGACACGGGGGGAGACCAGCTGCTTGGCGCTGGGTCATCTCACTGTTGAGGTGAGGCTGTGATGCCAGGGCAAGGACTGAGTGGTAAGGCCTGCGCTGGGCACATTGACGTGTCCAGGGCCAGGCAGAGACAGTGGAGGAGGAAACTGAGCGGGCCTTGCAGGATAGACAGGTCCCGGTGCCAGCCCTCCCCTGACCCAGGGTGACTGTCCACAGGGCAAGACCTGCCTCTGGGTGTGGGTGGCTATGTCATTGGTCTGACTGTGCAGGCACTCGGGTGGGCCAGGTTTCTGGCCCCTGCCCCGTGGCCAGCCTCCACCAGAGGACGGCCCCACCCAGGCCAGCTGCAGCAACCTGCTGAACCGGTCAGGGAGGCTGTGGACGGCCAGGGCAGTAGGACCGAGGAGGAGCCCCTCGGTTCTTGGATTCCTTGCAGTTGAGCAGTGAGGGTCCTGATCCCATCCTGACCAATCTCGACGCACCCCTTTCTGCTATGCCCGCCGTCAAGGTGACCGTGCTGGCCTAGGAGCCATAGCCGGGCAGATGCCTGGGGGGAAGTGGCCTCTAATGGGGGTGACCAGGGCTAGCCACGGTGTGTGAGTCAGGCTCTCCATACCCCTGCCTCAGCACCTCCATGGACCTTGGAGGCTGACTGTGGCCCTGTAATGGGGGCGCGACAGACCCAGACCCAGCAGGAGAAAGGTGCTGGGACAGATCTGCGTGGACACACACTGCGATTGAGCTTGGGGAGAATGGGACCCCCCAGGGCTCTGAGCTGCTGAGGGTCCCAGCAGGTTACCTGGAAGGGGTGATGCTTGATCAGGGAGTTAAAGCAGCATCCCCCAGGTCAAGGCCAGCAGGCTTGGGGACCATGAGAGTCGTGGTGGTGTGGAGGTGGGGCAGGCTGGCCAAGGTGGGGAGAGGGACCAGGGTGAGCTGGGAAGCTGGACGTGGGGGGGTACCCATGGAGCCACATCCGGGCACGGAGCAGGGAGCTTATCTCCCCCTGGGCTGGTGGTGCTGCTGGATCCAGTTGCAAGTGCTTTGTGGCTGAAAGGGGACCCATACCTGCCTTCAGCCACCACCCGCCTCCCTGCTGACTCCTCTGTGCTCCGCCAGTAATGCGAGCCCCAGGGTGGGAGCTGCAGGGTGCTCTGGGTCCCCTCCCAGTCCCTGGACGTCCTCCTGCTGGGCAGAGCTGGCCCACAGAGCGGATGCAGGTAAGAGAGGCCTGGGGCTTAGGCAGGCTAGGGAGAGGGGTGGCCTGGAACCCCGGGCTCCTATCCTCCGGAGCCAAGTCCTGGCGTCAGGCCTCAAGCGAGCAAGACTGCCTCTGTAGCAGGCCGGGTGGGCTGCAGCTCCCTGCATGCCTCCCCCAGGATGCTGCAGCCAGACAGGCCCTGGGTGTCTGAGGAGGGGACGGCCGCGGGGTCCCGGCGGGGTGACTGCGTCATCTGCTACTCTGCCTATGACCTCGAGGGCCACCTGCCGCACCGTCTCTACTGCGGCCACACCTTCTGCCAGGCGTGTGTGCGGCGGCTGGACACTGCAGCGGGCGAGCAGCGCTGGATCTCCTGCCCACAGTGCCGCCAGAGCACACCCACACCCCGGGGAGGGGTGGCCCTGCTGGACCTCGACCTGGCCGCCTTCCTGGCCGTGAGGGCTGAGTGGGAGCCATCTCGCAGGGAGCCCCCTGCACCCCCCAAGGGCAGTGCCGCCATCACTCAGCAGCCAGCCAGGCTCTGTCCCACCCTAGGCCCCCAGCCCCACTTCCCCCAGGCCCGGGGCTGCTGCGGTCTCTGCTGGGACGCCCCTGGTGGTCCCGAGGTCTGAGCGCTGGTGGCTGCCCCTCCTGTCAGGGGAGCTGCCACCCACAGCCCATCCCAGGAACCTCTACCCGCGGCACAGCCAGCCTGGAGCAGCCTGGGGGCCGAGCATCAGGCAGGCTGCCCTCCACGGACTTCCCCAGGCCGCAGCCGCAGCTTGGAAGCTGTGCCCCCACTACTAGGAGACTCTGCAAAGAGGCGCGGGTGACCTCCTGCTGCTCTTGGCCAGGATTCCAGGGCCTCAAGCTAGGCTGACTGTGTGTAGGGGGAGGCTGCTGCGGTCACCTGCAGGCCCAGCCTGGGCTCAACTCTGAAGATGCCTCCCGGGGTGTCCGGCTGCAGGCCAGAGGGTCGGGGTCTGGCCAAGTCTGTGCCTGGTCGTGCTGAAACCCGCCTCCCCGTCCCTATACAAGGTCCCAGCAGTGTGAGCCAGACAGAGACAGACCACCTCCTTCACCCTCGGCCGGCCAAGCGTCCCCGTGAGGATCACTCCTTCAGCAAAGCACAGGGAGCACCAGCTGCGCGTTGGCTGCTACTCCGGGAGGCTCTCCTGCAGGCACAAAGTCCCCGCCATGACAGGTGTCCAAGGAGAGGGCCCTGGCGGGGCCGGCTCCAGGCCCAGAGAGGGTGGGGGCCTGCCCAGGGTTGCACAGCCACCCCCCACCACGGGCCCTTTTTCTGGCCCTCGGCTCCCTGCTGCCTCACAGTGGCCCCACACAGGCCCTTCCAAACCCTTCCGAGGGGTCAGAGCAGGGCCGGGGGCTACGGACACAGACACCCTCCCAAGTCAAGCTGCATCGTCCCCATCCCCACCCAGAAAGGAGCTGTCCCCCCGTCCCTCAGAAGCCTCTGGGAGGGACTGTTGGGTCTGTCCTGGGCAGTGGGTGCAGGACAGAGAGAGAAGAGAATCTGCTGAGAGGACACTCAGAGACCTCCTCCTTCTCTGGGGCAAAGTCTCCCAGGCACATGGCGATTGGTGGGCAGCAACCAGACCAGGGTGCTGTGGGCCAGCAGGCCCCCTGGGGTGACCAGGCCCAAGGGGGAGGGGGAGATGCCTGTCCCAACAGGGGCAGCAGGAGGGGGGCTGAGCCTGAGAGGCCCCCACAAGCCCCAGGGCAGTGGGGTAATTCTCCTGTGAACAGATGGGCTGAGTCTCTGGGTCTAGGCAGGGTGGGCGGTGGGCTGGGCAGCAGGGTGGCCTGGGGGATGGGTCCTGCCCCCATAGCTTGCCAATAAAGGTAACCACTCTCCAGCATAACTGCCCACCCCTAGGGCCAAGCACGCCGGGAGCTCTGCTGGGCCCAGCCCTGCCCCGAACCCGGATCTGAACTGGGTGACTTCAGGGACTGGGGCCCTCCCCACCCACCTGGTGCAAAGGGTTTCACTCCCGCGGTTGGATGGGGTAGGGGCGAGCACAGTAAAGCCCGTGGAGCTTGGGAGGGACTTCCCCAGGGGCCTACAGGCCAACCAGCCAGAACACCAGCATCCTATCCTACCCCGGGCGGGCAGCATACAGGGTCCAGTCACTTCCCATCTGTGTCTGCTCATGAGCCCGTACCCACCCCTGCAACAGCCCTGGGCTGGCGCAGAGCCCAGCCAGGGAGAAGCCCCACTCTAAGAGGGCTGGGCTGGGGGTCTGGACTACCTGCTCCAGGGTGATAGTGGAACCAAGACAAGGCAGGCACCTGGGGCTACGACAGGTACCCCTTTGGGGCCTCGAGTCCTGGGTAAACATTAATGGGGCTCGGTACACAGCAGGTCATGTGTGCGCCCAGCAGATCTTTGACCGGCCGTTGCTCCCGCCCTGTGTCTCCTCCCCGCAGGTGCCCCCTCACTACCCTCACAGGTAGGAGCTTCTAGAACCAGGTGGGGGCCCGGGGACGCCAAGACAAGGGCTGGGTGACCTCCTAGCCCAGGGCTTAGGCCCCACCCTAAGCCTCCTGAGCTGAGGACGAAAGAGGAGGGAGGGGTGACAGAAGGCTGCCCAGGACCTGGTCCCTGGGGCCTGGAAGGGAGCTGGGGCAGAAGACTAGACAGTGGGTCCAGACCCAGAGGGTTGAAGAGAGGAGCCTTGGGGGGGTTGGGGGCACTCAAGCCCCTTGCCCTGCCCCCATCCCTGGGGGTGCGGCCCTTATCAAGCCAAGACGTCACCGTTTGGTATCAAATGCCAAAGTCTAAGCTGGGACCATCTGCAATGTCCCTGATGACACTTGATAGGAAGATTGCTGGGTTCCCTGCTCCCAGGCACTTCCGGCACCCTGCACCCTGTGCCCTAGGCCACCCACCAAGTCTTCTTCCAGCCAGGACCAGCGAGGGATCCAGGGAGCCAGGGCCCTCTTGACTCTGCCCCCGAAACTGGACTGGGCTCGCCTGACAACTGCTGGAGGTCACTGTAGCCATCCCCCTGTAGCTGGAGGAAGTGGGAAGTCTCCAAGGCCAGTGGGGGTGCGGAGGGGAGGACAGGTCCAGGTTAAAGGACCCCTGGTGGGACAAGGGGAGGACACATGTCTGATCTGCCTTTCCCCCCACCAGATCCAGGCTTGGGCCTGGGTCTGTCCCTGCCAGAAATCCATGCCGAATTCCCTCACGGGTGGCCAGGTCCCCCCCCCCACTCTGGACACAGTTGGCCTGGTGGACCGGAGTCTAGGAAATGCAGGTACCAGGAGTCCCAGGACGTCAGGCCTCAGCCTGCCTCCCCGACACCCAACCAGTCCTGATCCGTCATTCTGTGTGAGTGGGGAGGGGTTCCCGGGAGCTCGTCTCCCGCAGAGTCCACGGGGCTCCCGACAGTTCCGGTCAGGGCCAGACAAGCCGGAGGCCCCCTTTCCGCTCTGCTTCCTGTTCCTGCTTCTTGCCCCAAACCCTGACACCATAGTCCCATCCACACCCTCTTGCCCACCCCCCGTCCCCGGGAGTATCCTTGGCCCTGCTTCCCCTTGACTCCTGCAGGGACCTCCGGTTCTGCCCCAGTCTTGGAAGAGGGGGAGGTGGACCCCTGGGCCCTCCCTCAGCTGAAGGACACTGGCCAGTCCTGGAAAGGTAGGTGCTGGGGAACTGGCCAAATGGGGCTCTGCCTCCCCAGGGTCTGAGCGTGGAGAGGGTCTTCGGGGAGAGAGAGCAGGACAGAGGTTTGCCTCAACAGGCTGTATAGAAACCTACCGTGCAGGCCATCACCCCAGGGATGCTTGTCCCTCAGCTTGGCTGTCTGTCGTGTCTGGAGATGAGAGTCACTCCTGCCCAGCCGGCCCCTCCTTCTCCCTCCTAATGACCGTTAGGTTTCTGGGAGGTCCCAGGGGCAGTCGGTTTGGCCGTTGTGCAAAGGAACAGACCCTGCCTTGAGGGGCAAGGAGGCAGAACCAGGCCCTGTCCTGGAAGAAGACAGAGGAAGGGGAGCGGGAGGGGTGCCAGGGAGGGCAGGGCTGGGTGGGGGCCGGCTGAGGACAGCCTGTCCTGTGTCCTCAGAGCTCAGCGTGGCCGGAAGGGTGCTCCGCGTGGTCGTCGGCTTTCTCAAGGCTTGTGGGCTCCTGGGCAACCTTTATCTTTTCATCTGCTCCCTGGACATCCTCAGCTCAGCCTTCCAGCTGCTGAGCAGTGAGTGACCGGGGGTCTGGGGGTGGGGCGGGCAGCCAGTCGGGCACAGCCTCAGTGCACCTCTGTCCGGACACAGGCAGAATAGCTGGAGACATCTTTAAGGACAACGTGGTGCTGTCCAACCCCGTGGCAGGACTGGTCATTGGCGTGCTGGTTACAGTGCTGGTCCAGAGCTCTAGCACGTCCTCCTCCATCGTGGTCAGCATGGTGGCTTCTAAATGTGAGTGCCTCTCCCGCCCCCACCTCGGGCCGGTGGCGGGCGGGCAGAGTGTGGGAGGCTGATGCAGCCCCCCCACAGTGCTGACCGTCCAGGCATGCGTGCCCATCATCATGGGCGTCAACGTGGGCACGTCCATCACCAGCACCCTCGTCTCGATGGCACAGTCAGGGGACCGGGATGAGTTTCGGAGGTGAGTGGAGGGAGGGGAGGGCCAGGGGCTGCCGGCCAGGCCACGGCTGAGGCCACCGACCGCTCTGCTCTGTGCGGCAGGGCCTTCGGAGGCTCGGCCGTCCACGGCATCTTCAACTGGCTCACGGTGCTGATCCTGCTGCCGCTGGAGAGCGCCACGGCCCTGCTAGAGAGGCTCAGCGGGCTGGCTCTGGCCACAGGCAGCCTGCAGCCCGGGGGGCAGGCCCCCGACATCCTCAAGGTGCTAACAAAGCCTCTCACACACCTCATTGTGCAGGTGAGGGTGGCTGCAGTCTCGGGGTCCGGGCTAGGGGACGCGGTGCCCTGGCACCATCCTGGGTCCTCCCTGGGGTGCATAGTTGGCTGGGCCGGGGGCGCCTGAGGCCCAGGAGAGCCCTGAGGGAACAGTATGTGGTCACAGCTCCTCTGTCCCCCAGCTGGACACTGATATGATCACAAGCAGTGCCACAGGCAACGCCACCAACGGCAGCATCATCAAGCGATGGTGCGGTACCAGGGAGCTGACGGTGAGCACCTGGGACCCCAAACCCCACCCTGCTGGTCACTTCGGGCCCCAGGCGCTGAGCCTGCCCTGCATCACCTCCCCAGATTTCAGGGAACAGCAGCGACTGTGGACCCACTGCCTCCGGCCCCTGTCCTGAGAGCAATAGCTCTGTGGTGGTGGAGCAGCTGCCCTGTGAGGCCCCCCGCCCCACCCCTGCCCCGCACACCCTGCCCCCAGCCCCAGCCCCTGACCCCAGCCCTGTCCCTGCCCCACCACACCCCGCCCCCAGCCACAGCTCCCCACCCCCAGCCCTGTCCCCCCCAGCCAGGCCCCCAGCCCCGTCCCTGCCCCACCACACCCCGCCCCCAGCCCCAGCCCTCCAGCCCTCTCCCTGTAACCCCCACACCAGGCCCCCAGCCCCATCAGCCCCATCCCTGTCCCTCCCCAACACCAGGACCCCCCAATCAACCCCATCCCTGTCTCCCCCCATGCTCTGCCCCCAGGCCCAGCACCCCCAGACCCCTCCCTGCCTTGCCTGCCCCTAAAGCTGGCCTAGGCTCACGGACCCCCGCCCTGACCCCAGGCCACCACCTGTTCGTGGGGACTGCACTCACGGACCTGGCCGTGGGCTTCATCTTGCTGGCCGCCTCCCTCCTCCTGCTCTGCACCTGCCTCGTGCTCATCGTCAAGCTGCTCAATTCTGTGCTGCGCGGCCGCGTGGCCCAGGCTGTGAGGAAGGTCATCAACGCGGGTGCGGCCAGACTGCGGACATGGGGATGTGGGCGGGGTGGGGGGAG